GAGTTCTGACAGCTTGGATTTGGTTCTTGGTTGGTTTACATCAGTATTGGAGAGTTTGAGTTCTGGCAGCTTGGTTGGTTTACATCAGTGTTGGAGAGAGTTCTGGCAGCTTGGTTGGTTTACATCAGTGTTGGAGAGAGTTCTGACAGCTTGGTTGGTTTACATCAGTATTGGAGAGAGTTCTGGCAGCTTGGTTGGTTTACATCAGTGTTGGAGAGAGTTCTGACAGCTTGGTTGGTTTACATCACTGTTGGAGAGAGTTCTAGCAGCTTGGTTGGTTTACATCAGTATTGGAGAGAGTTCTGACAGCTTGGTTGGTTTACATCAGTGTTGGAGAGAGTTCTGACAGCTTGGTTGGTTTACATCAGTGTTGGAGAGAGTTCTGGCAGCTTGGTTGGTTTACATCACTGTTGGAGAGAGTTCTGACAGCTTGGTTGGTTTACATCAGTGTTGGAGAGAGTTCTGACAGCTTGGTTGGTTTACATCACTGTTGGAGAGAGTTCTGACAGCTTGGTTGGTTGTATTGTTCTGACATCAGTATTGGAGAGAGTTCTGACAGCTTGGTTGGTTTACATCAGTATTGGAGAGAGTTCTGACAGCTTGGTTGGTTTACATCACTGTTGGAGAGAGTTCTGACAGCTTGGTTGGTTTACATCAGTATTGGAGAGAGTTCTGGCAGCTTGGTTGGTTTACATCAGTATTGGAGAGAGTTCTGACAGCTTGGTTGGTTTACATCAGTATTGGAGAGAGTTCTGACAGCTTGGTTGGTTTACATCACTGTTGGAGAGAGTTCTGACAGCTTGGTTGGTTTACATCAGTGTTGGAGAGAGTTCTGGCAGCTTGGTTGGTTTACATCACTGTTGGAGAGAGTTCTAACACCCAGTTAAAATAAATGATTACCCTAAAAACAGTATACTCTCATGTTTTAATCAGGGTAATCATTTATGGACACCCTGTAGATTATTAAAACAATATAAACCTAACAAAACTAAAACTTGACAAAAAATAAAACAAAACACTTATATAAAATAACTCGTAACTTATACTTATAATCGTCAATAAAAGTAGAGTGTGTATTGAGTTAAGTAGTAGTAAAAGTTATCCTTCACATAGACTCAAGGAGGAAACAATATGTCGAAATCTGGTGGTAAATTAGTGTGGTCATAAGTGTGTATGTTTGTGTATATGTATGTATGTTTGTGTATATGTATGTATGTATGTATGTATGTATGTATGTATGTATGTATGTATGTATGTATGTATGTATAAAACGAAACTTTAGATCATGAATACAAATAATCAACACAAGAATTAAGAAAATATAAACAATAGGAAGATAATAAAAATAAAAAATAGCCAAAAATCTAACACAAAACAGATGTAGAAGAAAGAAACAAATAACAGGAAATAAATAAAAGGAAAGAGGAGAAAGGGATCCAATATCTCAACAAGGATATAGTCTTTAATATACGTACCAGATACCTTGATTAATGAGAAGATTGTCTGATCTACTGTGGAGGCAATTAATTGTGTTGCAGTGGCTGAAATTACCTCCATTATGAGAGAGTTAAAAATACATATTGAATAGGGGGGTGGAGAGAGAGAGAGAGAGAGAGAGAGAGAGAGAGAGAGAGAGAGAGAGAGAGAGCCACTGAAGGAATGGAACACTTCTATTAATCAATCTAAGATGACTGTCCTGGAAAAATGAGATTGATGATGGTGAGGTGTGACAGTACAGGTAACATAAAGGAGAAGAAGGTATAATTCAATAAGGTGTTTGTGTACTCTGTGTTAATTAATTATTTTCAAGGGTGTATTTTATTTATTTTAAGGTATGGGAGTGTATACCTGTTAGGGATAATAAAGGTGTGTATAGTAATGATATAAATGAGACTGGTGTTCAGGTGTTCAGGTGCTCAGGTGCTCAGGTGCTCAGGTGCTCAGGTGTTCAGGTGTGTTTTGCCTTACCTGAACCTCCTCATGAGTCTCCATAGGCCAAGTCACCACAAACAACTGTGATAATATAATAGTTTTTGTTTTGTTTTTATAATATGTCCATGTTAAGGCCTATCAGCAACACTAATGGCAGGTAAATATGTGGTAGCCAGGTGTGTGTGTGTGTGTGTGTGTGTGTGTGTGTGTTACCATATCCAGTTGCTACAAATAATAACACACACACACACACACACACACACACACAGGTGGTCCTATCCAGGCACTAAACCATCCTGTTTCAAGACACTTCCAACTCTCGTCTATTCAATTTATACCACAAGTTGCCCTGAATTTTTTGACCAGTTTCTCAATAAGTTTTTTTGTTGTTGTTTGAGTGTCTGAGAAGAGAGTTATGGAAAAGAGTTAGTTTATAATGCAAGAGCTATGATGAGAACTTAGTACGTCTCATGGTTAAAGTGTATTGGAATGGAAAAGAAATGCTTGAAAGATATTCGTATTGATTTGTTAGGATGACATTACCTTCGTGTTGTACGTGTTACCTTGATCACTGAAACACTGTATAAATATTAATGTTGAACCTGTTATTATTTTTTTTAATGGTTTTATTTTAAGATATATGTCAAGGTAGGAGTGGAAACGTACGGTACAGAAAGACACTCCCAGACAGACAGACAGACGCAGACTAAGACTCTATAAACCCCCTTCCCAAATTAAAATTTCCCAGGGATTAAAAAAAAAAATAAATATCCTTTCTCTTCAATTACCTTAAGTTTTAGGAAACAATAATACTGAGACTAATTTTATGATATGTTTACAAAATAATTTAAGACGACGACATTTTACGTTCTACAAATGATTTTAGTCAAGACGATTAAAAAAAATACTGCAGAGAAAATTAATTACATGATATTTGTCTTCTTCTTCTTCAAGGCTTTCCTCACTTAGTGGATAATTAATGAGAAATATGCAGAGTCCAGCTACCGAGAAGACGAGCCTAAAAGGATGGTAATTACAAATCTTATTACACATCCTGCACCGGAGTTTGACTTGTGCCGCTCCAGCTTCCGTCTGACATTTGATAATTTTATCCTGATTTTTATTCATTTTTTTTTGTGAGTTTTATATATATTTAAGGTGTGTTAGTGTTCGTGATTTCATATTTTGCTTTTGATTTTTATTAATTTTCGTGTTTTTTATATAAATTTAAGGTGCCAAGTGTCTTATCCCTGGCAAGAATAACATCACTAAACCAAGTTTTTTAAAGAGAATTTAAATGTTCGAAAATTTTCTTGAATTTAATGTCTTAGGAATTTAATTAATCAACCCGTAGCTATTATTAAGAGGTAACTTAAGTATTTCTTATGGCTAGGAATGTTATATTATAATGCCAGGCTAACTCTTCCCCTCCAACTTGGAATTAAGTGCAAAGAGGATGAAAATTAGCATAAACCTTATTTCAGGATTTGATGATAAAAGCCAAATGGACAGATTGACGAACCAACCAGCCAGCCAGCCTGCCTGCCTGCCAGCCAGCCAGCCAGCCAGCCAGCCAGCCAGCCAGCCAGCCAGCCAGCCAGCCTGCCAGCCAGCCAGCCTGCCTGCCTGCCAGCCAGCCTGCCTGCCTGCCAGCCTGCCAGCCAGCCAGCCTGCCAGCCAGCCTGCCTGCCTGCCTGCCAGCCAGCCTGCCAGCCAGCCAGCCAGCCAGCCTGCCAGCCAGCCTGCCTGCCTGCCTGCCAGCCAGCCAGCCTGCCTGCCTGCCATCCTGCCTGCCAGCCAGCCTGCCTGCCTGCCAGCCTGCCTTCCAGCCTGCCTGCCAGCCAGCCTGCCAGCCAGCCTGCCAGCCAGCCTGCCAGCCAGCCTGCCTGCCAGCCTGCCTGCCTGCCTGCCTGCCTGCCAGCCAGCCTGCCTGCCTGCCTGCCAGCCTGCCTGCCAGCCAGCCTGCCTGCCAGCCAGCCTGCCTGCCAGCCAGCCTGCCAGCCAGCCTGCCAGCCAGCCTGCCTGCCAGCCTGCCTGCCTGCCTGCCTGCCTGCCTGCCTGCCAGCCAGCCTGCCTGCCTGCCAGCCTGCCCCCTGCCAGCCTGCCTGCCTGCCAGCCTGCCCGCCTGCCTGCTTGCCTGCCCAGCCTGCCTGCCTGCTTGGCCTGCGCGCGCCGCACCCTCCGCCTGCCGCCCAGCCTGCTGCCAGCCTGCCAGCCTGCCAGGCCAGCCTGCCAGCCTGCCTGCCTGCCAGCCAGCCTGCCTGCCTGCCAGCCTGCCAGCCTGCCAGCCTCCTGCTGCCAGCCTGCCAGCCTGCCTGCCTGCTCGGCCAGCCTGCCTGCCTGCCTGCCAGCCAGCGTGCCTGCCTGCCAGCCTGCCTGCCTGCCAGCCAGCCAGCCTGCCTGCCTGCCAGCCTGCCTGCCAGCCTGCCTGCCTGCCAGCCAGCCAGCCAGCCAGCCAGCCAGCCAGCCAGCCAGCCTGCTAGCCTGCCTGCCTGCCTGCCTGCCAGCCAGCCAGCCTGCCTGCCTGCCCGCCTGCCAGCCAGCCTGCCTGCCTGCCTGCCAGCCAGCCAGCCAGCCAGCCAGCCAGCCAGCCTGCCTGGCTGCCAGCCTGCCAGACTGCCAGCCTGCCTGCCAGCCTGCCTGCCTCCCGAAAAGTAGATTATCTACTTTACTGGAAAGTATATTATCGACTTTTAGGGGAAGTAGATTATTGGCGTTTTGGGAAATATTGCCTAATTTTCCGAAGTAGATTATTGTACTGTTCCAAGCATATAGTCATTGGAGTGTGTGTACTACTATATGTGTGAGATGGTGTAGCCTATGTGTGTTAATTCCTGTTCTGTACATTTCAGGTATTGGTGCCTTCTGTATTGAGACAATAAACACCAACAAAACCAAACAGTTTATTACTGACCGACGGTGCATACAGTAAATTGGCGACGAGGATCAAGGACATACATCTATTCACAACATGGCCACTGCTATACCAACACTACAACCTCTAGAGCTAGAGGAGATTGACCAAACACACTCATGGACTGACGGGAGAGACGCCAGCCAAACTACTCATGGGAAGCAACATCAAGGTGAAACTCCCCCAAGTGAGTCATGACTTGGAAGACACACAAGTGACATGCTGGGCTGTGGCACGCAAGAGAGATAAAAGAGAAAAGGAGAAACTGAAACGCCGGACAGACAACCGGAATAAGTCCAAACTAGTGGAATTGAGACCAACTGATCAAGTGCTCCTGAAGCAAACCAAGAAAGACAAGCTCTCAACTAATTATGATCCTAAACCGTGGACGGTAAGTGAAAGGCGAGGCGATTCAGCTATTCTACAGCGAGGACCCAAGAAGATATTACGCAGCACATCCCAGGTGAGAATTTTTAGTTTTTTTTAGTTTAACAAATTTATTGGCAGAGCTTGTAGTACAGTTTGCCTATTCTGAGTAATTCAGTCAGGTCTTGACACTGAGGGTGGTATCACTTCTCACTGCCTCGCAGGACAGAGGTTCACACACAAAGAAATACATCATATTCATTAACAGCTATAAATGTATAGAGGTCAGATTCATATGGGTAATGTCACTGTTCACTGCCATGCAGGACAGAGGTTCGTACACAAAGAGATGCATCATATTCATTGACAGAACATATACATATATGTACACACACACACACACACATATACACACATATACATATATACATACACATATACATGTACATATATATACACACACGCACACATACATACATATACGTCGGTCAGATTCATGTGGGTAATGTCACTTTTCACTGCCATGCAGGACACAGCCCAGATGAGAAGAGTTCCAGGGAGATGCCAAGGAGGAAATGACGGCAGCGGAGACAGTGACACAGACGGAAGCCACAAAACGGCCGAGAGAACCGACAACACCCATCGAAACCGGGAAAACAACCAAGCCGCCAACACGCCGAGGGCAGGGATGGACAAGTCCAGGCAGGACGGGAACAGCGAGGAGGAACCACTCGCTGCTAGGCAACCTCGTCGGACTATAGTAAGACCGAAGAAATACCAGGATGGAGCTGATGACTTCGGAACGGATGTAAGTGAAAGCTCTGAAACGGATGAAGTTGATGACTCCGAAATGGATGGAGAGACAAGCGACGAATATAAACCCGGCCGTTCATGGAACTAAAGAGAACGGCAATACAGAACTGTCATCATGAATAAAAGGGAGGGGAAGATGTACTGTTCCAAGCATATAGGCATTGGAGTGTGTGTACTACTATATATGTGAGATGGTGTAGCCTATGTGTGTTAATTCCTGTTCTGTACATTTCAGGTATTGGTGCCTTCTGTATTGAGACAATAAACACCAACAAAACCAAACAGTTTATTACTAACCGACGGTGCATACAGTAAAATTATCAAAGAAAACGGGAAATTTGTATCATAGAAAATGGGAAATATCTACTTTCCGGGAAAGTTGGTTATCTACTTTCTCGAAAAGTAGATAGATTTTCTACTTTTCGGGAAAGTAGATTATCGACTTTTCGGGGAAGTAGATTTACGAATTTTGAGGGAAATATTACCTAATTTTGCGAAGTAGATTATCATAAACAGGAAATTTGTATCATAAAAATGGGAAATATCTACTTTCCGGGAAAGTTGGTTATCTTTTCCGAAAATTTCTTTGGAAGTAGATTATCGACTTTCGAAGTAGATTATCGACTTTTTCGGGGAAGTAGATTTACGAATTTTGGGGAAATATTACCCAATTTTGCGAAGTAGATTATCAGAAAACGGGAAATTTGTATCATAAAAATGGGAAATATCTACTTTCCGAAAAGTTGTTATCTACTTTCCTGAAAAGTAGATAGATTTTCAGAAAGCAGATTACTCGACTGTGGAAGTAGATTTACGAATTTTGTAGTTGATTATTCTTAATTCTTTGCGAAGAAGCAGGATTATCATAGAAAACGGGAAATTTGTATCATAAAAAAACGGGAAATATCTACTTTCCGGGAAAGTTGGTTATCTACTTTCCCGAAAAGTAGATAGATTTTCTACTTTTCGGGAAAGTAGATTATCGACTTTTCGGGGAAGTACATTTTCGAATTTGGGGGAAATATTACCTAATTTTGCGAAGTAGATTATCATAGAAAACGGGAAATTTGTATCATAAAAAATGGGAAATATCTACTTTCCGGGAAAGTTGGTTATCTACTTTCCCGAAAATTAGATATATTTTCTACTTTTCGGGAAAGTAGATTATCGACTTTTCGGGGAAGTAGATTTTCGAATTTTGGGGGAAATATTACCTAATTTTGCGAAGTGGATTATCATAGAAAACGGGAAATTTGTATCATAAAAATGGGAAATATCTACTTTCCGGGAAAGTTGGTTATCTACTTTCCCGAAAAATAGATAGATTTTCTACTTTTCGGGAAAGTAGATTATCGACTTTTCGGGGAAGCAGATTTTCGAATTTTCGGGGAAATATTACCTAATTTTGCGAAGTAGATTATCATAGAAAACGGGAAATTTGTATCATACAAAATGGGAAATATCTACTTTCCGGGAAAGTTGGTTATCTACTTTCCCGAAAAGTAGATAGTTTTTCTACTTTTCGGGAAACTAGATTATCGACTTTTCGGGGAAGTAGATTTTCGAATTTTGGGGGAAATATTACCTAATTTTGCGAAGTAGATTATCATAGAAAACGGGAAATTTGTATCATAAAAAGTGGGAAATATCTACTTCCGGAAAAGTTTGTTACCTACTTTCCCGAAAAGTAGATAGATTTTCTACTTTTCGAAAGTAGATTATCGACTTTTCGGGAAGTGATTGAATTTTGGGGGAAATATACCTAATTTTTGCGAAGTCGATTAACAGCAGAAAACGGGAAATTTGTATCATAAAATGGGAATATTCATTTTTCCGAAAGAAGAACACTGGAAAAGAGTATTTTCTACTTTTCGGGAAAGTAGATTATCGACTTTTCAGGAAGTAGATTTTCGAATTTTGGGGGAAATATTACCTAATTTTGCGAAGCAGATTATCATAGAAAACGGGAAATTTGTATCATAAAAAATGGGAAATATCTACTTTCCTGGAAAGTTGGTTATCTACTTTCCCGAATCGTAGATAGCTTTTCTACTTTTCGGGAAAGTAGATTATCGACTTTTCGGGGAAGTAGATTTTCGAATTTTGGGGGAAATATTACCTAATTTTGCGAAGTAGATTATCATAGAAAACGGGAAATTTGTATCAGAAAAACTGGGAAATATCTACTTTCCGGGAAAGTTGGTTATCTACGTTCCCGAAAAGTAGATAGATTTTCTACTTTTCGGGAAAGTAGATTATCGACTTTTCGGGGAAGTAGATTTTCGAATTTGGGGGGAAATATTACCTAATTTTGCGAAGTAGATTATCATAGAAAACGGGAAATTTGTATCATAAAAAAAGGGAAATATCTACTTTCCGGGAAAGTTGATTATCTACTTTCCCGAAAAGTAGATAGATTTTCTACTTTTCGGGAAAGTAGATTATCGACTTTTCGGGGAAGTAGATTTTCGAATTTGGGGGGAAATATTACGTAATTTTGCGAAGTAGATTATCATAGAAAACGGGAAATTTGTATCATAAAAATGGGAAATATCTACTTTCCGGGAAAGTTGGTTATCTACTTTCCCGAAAAGTAGATACATTTTCTACTTTTTGGGAAAGTAGATTATCGACTTTTCGGGGAAGTAGATTTTCGAATTTTGGGGGAAATATTACCTAATTTTGCAAAGTATATTATCATAGAAAACGGAAATTTGTATCATAAAAAATGGGAAATATCTACTTTCCGGGAAAGTTGGTTATCTACTTTCCCGAAAAGTAGATAGATTTTCTACTTTTCGTGAAAGTAGATTATCGACTTTTCGGGGAAGTAGATTTTCGAATTTTGGGGGAAATATTACCTAATTTTGCAAAGTATATTATCATAGAAAACGGAAATTTGTATCATAAAAAATGGGAAATATCTACTTTCCGGGAAAGTTGGTTATCTACTTTCCCGAAAAGTAGATAGATTTTCTACTTTTCGTGAAAGTAGATTATCGACTTTTCGGGGAAGTAGATTTTCGAATTTTGTGGGAAATATTACCTAATTTTGCGAAGTAGATTATCATAGAAAACGGAAAATTTGTATCATAAAAAATGGGAAATATCTACCTTTCCTTGAAAGTTGGTTACCTAATTTCCCGAAAAGTAGATAGATTTTCTACTTTTCGTGAAAGTAGATTATCGACTTTTCGGGGAAGTAGATTTTCGAATTTTGTGGGAAATATTACCCACCTTTTGCGAAGCAGATTATCATAGAAAACGTAAATTAAAATACAAAAAATGGGAAATATCTACTTTCCGGGAAAGTTGGTTATCTACTTTCCTATATACATAGATTTTCTACTTTTCGGGAAAGTAGATTATCGACTTTTCGGGGAAGTAGATTTTCGAATTTTGGGGGAAATATTACCTAATTTTGCGAAGTAGATTATCATAGAAAACGGAAATTTGTATCATAAAAAATGGGAAATATCTACTTTCCGGGAAAGTTGGTTATCTACTTTCCCGAAGAAGTAGATAGATTTTCTACTTTCGGTGCCAGATTATCGACTCTCGGGAAGCAGGACGAAATCGTAGTTATTACCTAATTTTGGCGAAGCGAGATTATCACAGAAAACGTGTAAATTTGTATCATAAAAATGGGAAATTATCTACTTTCCGAAAGTTGGTTATTTACTTTCCTAGTAAGCAGATAGATTTTTCTACTTTTCGGGAAAGTAGATTATCGACTTTTCGGGGAAGTAGATTTACGAATTTTGGGGAAGACAGTCTAATTTATAAAGCAGATTATCATAGAAAACGGGAAATTTGTATCATAAAAAATGGGGAAATATCTACTTCCAGAAAGTTGGTTATCTACTTTTCCCAGATAGATTTTCATTTCGGGGAAAGCAGATAATCGACTTTTCGGGAAGTAGATTTAATGAATTTTGTGTAAAATATTACCTAATTTTTGTATAAGTAGATTATCAAGTAGAAAACGGGAAATTTGAACAGCAAAATGGGAAATATTCACTTTCCGGGAAAGGATATTCATTTTCCTGAAAAAGTAGATAGATTTTCTACTTTTTAGGAAAGTAGATTATCAACTTTTCGGGAAGCGCAGATTTTCGAATTTTGGGGAAATATTACCTAATTTTGCGAAGTAGATTATCATAGGAAACGGGAAATTTGTATCATAAAAATGGGGAAATATCTACTTTCCGAAGTTATTCATTTTCCAAAAGTAGATAGATTTTCTACTTTTCGGGAAAGTAGATTATCGACTTTTCGGGGAAGTAGATTTACGAATTTTGGGGAAATATTACCTAATTTTGCGAAGTAGATTATCATAGAAAACGGAAATTTGTATCATAAAAAAATGGGGAAAATATCTACTTTCCAGGAAAGTTGGTTATTCATTTTCCTGAAAAGTAGATAGATTTTTCATTTTTCAGGAGACGGTCAAATAGATTTTATCTTAGAATATTATTTGATTTCAGTGAAGCAGATTATCATAGAAACGGGAAATTTGTATCATAAAAATGGGAAATATCTACTTTCCAGGAAAGTTGGTTATTCACTTTCCCGAAAAGTAGATAGATTTTCTACTTTTCGGGAAAGTAGATTATCGACTTTTCGGGGAAGTAGATTTACGAATTTTGGGGGAAATATTACCTAATTTTGCGAAGTAGATTATCATAAAACGTCCAAAACGTCGATAATCTACTTTCTAGAAAAGTAGATATTTCTCATTTTCCGTGATACAAATTTCCCGTTTCTGATAATCTACTTCGCAAAATTAGGCAATATTTCCCAAACATCTACTTCCTAAAGTCGAAAATCTACTTTCCAGTAAAGTAGATAATCTACTTTCTGGGAAAGTTGGTTATCTACTTATCATAGGAAACGGGAAATTTGTATCATAGGTTGGGCCCAACCTGGCCCACATGGCCCACTCTGACCCTCTCTTGCCCACCCTGGCCCACCTGGCCTACCCTGGCCCACCCTGGCCCACCCTAGCCCACCCTGGCCCACCCTGGCCCACTTGGCCCACCCTGGCCCACTTACTTTCTTATTGCTTAACTTACTTACTTACTTACAATAACTAAATAACGACAAAATACTCTTCTATGATACCTCTCTACTCTATATACTGTAT